TTTTTTTTTTTTTGAGAACTGTGCTCCTGGGGCCAACCAGTGGAGGACCCTGAGCCATTGGTGTCATCCTCACTGCACAACTGTGCTCCTGGGGATGGCAGGTGGAGAACCCTGAGCTACTGCTGTGTCCCTGTCAATGCAGAACTGTGCTCCCAGGACCAACTGAGTGCCTAGCTTCCACCCTCAGACTTTCTTTCCAGTGTGGGTGGAGGGAACACAGACAGACAGCAGTCGGAGGAGCCCACGCTTGCTGTGTCAGGTGTGGTCGCCGTGGCTGGAGCGTGAAGATGGAGGCAGGGATGGTAGTGGGAGGCCCCAAGTCAAGGACACCTGGAGCCCCCAGAAATTGGAAGAAGCAGGAAGAGTCCTGGAATCCCCCTTGGGAGCCCGGCTCTGGCCCCCAGGACACTGAGAGAAGGACTTGCTGCTGCCTTAAACCTCTGTTCCTGGTGCTTTGGTGTGGCTGCCCCAGGGAAGCAGTGCTCCCACCCTTCCTGTTTCTCAGACACACAAGTGCAGTGGCGAGTTCCCGCCCGAGGGGTGGCCTTGCGGGTGTGACCACAAACAGGCACCCGGACCTGCTGATTGTCCTGCACCAGCGATGAATCACCGGATCTGTCCTGCAGATAGTTTTAAAACACGGCGAGTGGTGTACTGGACGCCTCTCAGAGTGCCCCGTGCACACTGATCTGTCACAGCACAGAAGCCTGCACCCGGTTCACAGCCTTCCCAGGATGGCTCCCTGTGCTGAGCACCTGCTCGTCCCTGCAGGAGCACAGCTGTTCTAATCCAAGCACTTTGGGAGGCCGAGGTGGGTGGATTGAGAGGTCAGGAGTTCAAGACCAGCCTGGCCAACATGGTGAAACCCCATCTCTACTAAAGATACAAAAAATTAGCCAGGCTTGGTGGTGGGCACCTGTAATCCCAGCTACTCGGGAGGCTGAGGCAGGAGAATCGCCTGAACCTGGGAGGTGGAGGTTGCGGTAAGCTGAGATTGTGTCTTTGCACCCCAGTCTGAGCGACAGGGGGAGGCTCCATCTCAGAAAAAAAAGGGACATATCATGATTGCTGCTGGTGACATGCACTTCGTTCCACCGTGTGGATGTATGGTTTTACCAAGGCAACGCTGCTGGACGTTTTGTTTATTTCCAATATTGGCTATTATTATTTTTTCAAGAGAGGGTCTCACTCTGTCTCAGGCTGGGGTGCAGTGGCACCATGATAGCTGACTGCAGCCTCAAACTCCCGGGCTCAAGCCATCCTTCTGCCTCAGCCTCGTGAGTATCTGGGACTACAGATGCTCATCACCATGCCCAGCTAATCTTTTCGATTTTAGGGAGAGACGAGGTCTTGCTATGTTGCCCAGGCTAGTCTTGAACTCCTGAACTCAAGCCATCCTCTCACCTTGGCTTCCCCAGGTGCTGGGATTACAGGCATGAGCCACCTAACCCAACACTGGCTACTACCTCTTGAAGCTATAGTAGCTGGGCGTGGTGGCTCATGCCTGTAATCTCAGCACTTTGGGAGTCTGAGGCAGGCGGATCACCTGCGGTCAGGAGTTCAAGACCAGCCTGGCCAACACGGGGAAACCCTGTCTTTAAAAAAAAACAAAACAAAAACAAAATAAATAAATAAATAAAATAAAACAAAATAAAGCTATAGTAAACAACTGTATAGGCCGGGTGCAGTGGCTCACGCCTGTAATCCCAGCACTTTGAGAGGCCAAGGCAGGTGGATCATGAGGTCAGGAGATCGAGACCATCCTGGCTAACATGGTGAAACCTCGTCTCTACTAAAAATACAAAAAACTTTGCCAGGAGTGGTGGCACGTGCCTGTAATCCCAGTTACTCAGGAGGCTGAGGGAGGAGAATCGATTAAACCTGGGAGGCAGATGTTGCAGTGAGAGGAGATAGCGCCATTGCACGCCAGCCTGGACAAGAGTGAAAACCGTCTCAAAAAAACAAACAAAACCAAACCAAAAAACCACAACTCTGAGGCGGGACACAGTGGCTCACTCCTGTAATCCCAGCACTTTGGGAGGCCCAGGTTGAGGGGATCACCTTAGGTCAGGAGTTCAAGACAGGCCTGGCCAACATGGTGAAACCTCATCTTTTTTAAAAAAAAAAAAAAAAAAAAACTGTAGGCCGGGCGCGGTGGCTCAAGCCTGTAATCCCAGCACTTTGGGAGGCCGAGGCGGGTGGATCATGAGGTCAAGAGATCGAGACCATCCTGGTCAACATGGTGAAACCCCGTCTCTACTAAAACTACAAAAAATTAGCTGGGCATGGTGGCGCGTGCCTGTAATCCCAGCTACTCAGGAGGCTGAGGCAGGAGAATTGCCTGAACCCGGGAGGTGGAGGTTGCGGTGAGCCGAGATCGCGCCATTGCACTCCAGCCCTGGGTAACAAGAGCGAAACTCCGTCTCAAAAACAAACAAACAAACAAAAAAAAACACTGTGAAGCCAAAACACAGCATATATTCTCATTTCCTTAGTGGAATTCCTGAGTCAAAGGGAATTAGGCTTTTGACAGACACACCCAAATTTCCCTCTGCAGAAACTCTTCTCCCAACCAACTTAAATGCAAATAAGCCACCGTGCCCAGGTTTTTTTTTTTTTTTTTTTTTTTTTTTACCTCTGAAAATACACAAACTTTTGATAAATTACCAACTGGAGCTGAAAAGACAGCTGTGACTGTTGATGATGGGCTGAGTCTTCTGTAAAAACGAAACGCTGCCGAATCAGTCCGCCAGAGGGCACTCTTCGCTAAGATTTGAGAGTCATAGCTTGCAGGTTAAGGCGTTTCAGGACTTCAAATTTGCATCAGAGAAGTCTGAAATTAGTCGATTTCCCGGATAAATCTAAGATGCTGTCACAAGAAAACCTAGTAAAAACCAACCGAGGTGGCGTAATAGCCATGTGACCTGAAAACGCTCATGGCTGTTGTCACACTTCCTGCTGTGAGGGTTCCAGCCGTCACCAGCAGCCTGGCCCTGTGGGCACCGACCATGACTTGCACCAACTGTGCAGGGTCCCTCTCTGCATGTGGGGCCCCCTGTGCCTCCCTTATGAATTCTCACTCCTGGCGCCACCTCAGAAAAGTCTATTTGGACCTGCCTGGTCCCTGTTGCTGGCTCACTTGGCCCCCTGTCGTCCTTGGCTTATAATGGTTATAGTTTTATGCTTTGGGGGTACGACTGTTGGTTGGCCTTCTGTTGCCCAAAGAAGAATGGCAGAATGATTAAAAGTACTGTGTAAGTTCAGAGTCAACAGGACAGCCTCCCAGGCCCCTTGCTGGCAAGGTAACCCTGCTAAGCCTCAGCTTCCTTATCTGCAAAATGGCTCTAATTGGCAGCTAACCTATTGCCTAAAAAGGTCCTAGGGGAGGACTCAGTGACCACTCTGTGAGTTTGCCCAGTCGTGGTGGCACTATCTCCTTCTCTCTACAGGCACAGAGGGAAGAACAGGGCGGACAGAGGGCTCTCCGCACCTTCCCCAGCCAGCAGTGTGGTCGACAGATTGCAAGTTAGTATCTGCGTGACCTCTGAGCTCCCCTGCCTGTGGCTGCCTGGGCTACAGAGATTTCGGGTGGTTTTATCACTGCAGAGAAATGCCTGGCATACTGGGGGACGAGCAAGGTCCAGAATGACAAGCCTTGGCATTCCTCAGCCGCCCCCTCCCAGGATGGGGCCTGGACATTCCTGGAGGTCCCAGGATGGCTCCGACCACCCTCCACCATGGCTATTGTTTGGAATTCTGTGGTTTCCAGAGGCATCTGCCCAGCAGACTGTCTCGCTGTGAACACTCAGCTCTGCAACAGTGTTTGCCTGTTTGCCCTGGGAGGCCCAACTGTGAACCAGAATGAAGGCCTCCCACCTGCCTGCAGGCTGCTGCTGTGAGCTTCCATGGACATGTGAGGACACACACCAAGGAACCCAGGGTCAGGGGGATAACCAGGAGCTTCCTCCCTGACCCCCACCCTTTGAACAGGTGTTTGGCTACTCACTTATCCTGTCAATCTCCAGGAAGTATGTATACTCCTTCCTGATTTCAGGCCTAGGTGACTTGGCATTCTGCACTCCCTCCTCTAACTAATCACCTCTCAACCCTTCTTATCTAGAGCACCTCTCGCACTCCCCAGGAACAACAACCTTTAGAGCCCCTTCACCCTAAAGGCTGCCTTTGAATTCCCCAGCCAGATTTAGGGGCGTGTGTCTTATGGCTCCCGTTCTATTGATTAAATTGAGCTCAGGCTGATTGATGGCTTCCCAAAGCCTGTGTTGTTACTGTTTCTCCAAGTTGTGGGCCAGGGATCCCGGTCTTTGGAAAGATTCCTTGGGGATACAAAGGGAATTACAATGGGTGGGGTCGGTTCAGTTCTTCCCTCGTCCCATTTCGCAGCGAGGCTCAGGGCCCAGTGATGCATTGCCCGGGGTTGAAAGGGGGCTGCGGGAGCTTCCCCTCTCATCCCTCCCAGGTGCCCCAGGAGCTGGCTGTGGGCTCGGTTCCATGCCCTCAGCCCAAATGGGACAGGAGCCTAGGTTCCCTTTAGGGGGTGGGCTGCCACCCCACACCCCATCCTTGGCCTCAGGCCAGCCCTGGTGCACTGCCCGCTCCCAGGCGGGACACGAGGCTGCGGGCTAGCAGGTGAAGGGGTGCGCCCTGACCGCGAGACCCCGCCCAGGCGCACCCGGGAGGACGGGCTGGGGCGCCGCGGACGCCGCGGAGGAGGTTGCGAGGCCGGGGTCTCCACGGCGCCGGAGAACTGGGACCTCCGGGGACCACGCGGGCCCGGGAATCGCCCGCTAGGCTGGGCTGGAAGACACACGTGTTCCGAGCTGAGCCGAGGGGGCGGAGATAAGGGCGGGGAAGGGGCGGGGCCTGGCTGGCGGGTTGTGGCGGCGGGCGGGGCCTCGGGCGGTGGGCGGGGCTGGCGGGCCCGGGCATAAAAGGCGGCGCGGGCGCGGGCGCTGACGCAGAGGCCGGCGGGGGGTGGCGCTCACACTCCTCGCAGCGCACCGGCGCTCCAGTGTCCCAGGCCCGGCCGGCGCGGAGAGCATGGCGGGCGCGGGTCCGAAGCGGCGCGCGGTAGCGGCCCCGGCGGCCGAGGAGAAGGAGGAGGCGCGGGAGAAGATGCTGGCGACCCAGGCTGCGGACGGCGCGGCCCCGGCGGGCGCGGGGGAGGGCGAGGGTGTGACCCTGCAGCGGAGCATCACGCTGCTCAACGGCGTGGCCATCATCGTGGGCACCATCATCGGCTCGGGCATCTTCGTGACGCCCACGGGCGTGCTCAAGGAGGCGGGCTCGCCGGGGCTGGCGCTTGTGGTGTGGGCCGCGTGCGGCGTCTTCTCCATCGTGGGCGCGCTGTGCTACGCCGAGCTGGGCACCACCATCTCCAAGTCGGGCGGCGACTACGCCTACATGCTGGAGGTCTACGGCTCGCTGCCCGCCTTCCTCAAGCTCTGGATCGAGCTGCTCATCATCCGGCCCTCCTCGCAGTACATCGTGGCCCTCGTCTTCGCCACCTACCTGCTCAAGCCGCTCTTCCCTACCTGCCCGGTGCCCGAGGAGGCTGCCAAGCTCGTGGCCTGCCTCTGCGTCTGTGAGTACGGGGCGCGGGCCGGGGGGTTGTGGGGTCGTAGTCCCTGGGTCCCTGCGCCCCTGGATCCCACATCTCTACTTTCTGCATTCCTGGACCGTCTCAGCAGTTCTAGGCTAAGGTCATTGGTCGCGGAAACCACGTGCGTTTCTTCATTCATTCTTTTACGCTTCTCCCCACAGTCTAGGAATATCTCCAGTGAGGCGGCAGTAGGGTCCCTACTGCGCTTCGATGGGCATTCCATTCCCCCACGTAAGCGGTTTAAGCAACTGCCAGCCTCCTCTCGGCCCCGCTGAGAATACTCCCAGCCTCTTGCGTGGCACCCACGTGGAGTAGCCGAGCAGCCCGTTTAGTGTTAGAGATCCAATAGCTGACTGGTTGGGGAGAGGGGAATTGCAGATAAAAAAACCATTTCTGCTCCCCAAACCGGCTTGCCAGGAATCAGTGTCACGGGCTGACTCAGAAGGAAACAGTAGTAATAAAATCGTATGAAGGTAGTGATGTGCCGGCGTAGGCTAAGGGAACCCCCATGAGGGTTGCCCAGTAGTGAGAGAGGGGAGTTTGGCTGCATATTCAGTCTGTGTTGGAGCGGATGGACGTGCGGGTCCGGGGTCACGCTGGCAAACAGCCATGGGGCGTGGTCCTGATGTGGTGGGCTCAGTGCTGGTATGTTCTTCAACAGGCCAGAGAGAATGGCTTTTTTCAAAACAGTTTTCTTCTGGGATTTCAGGGGGGAAATCTCTTGTACCAAATGCCACACGATTTGCCTGGGGGGCGGGTCTTGGTGATTCTCAGGCTCATGCCATGGCTTTAGAAGTGCCCTGCTTTTGAAGTTTATGTTGGAACCCGGGCCATCCCAAACTTAGATTTATTTGCATTGAGAGCTGCCAGCTAATGTAAGGATCGGCCTGGATCTCAGTAGTGTGTACACATTCAGGCTGGGAAGGGCTAAATTTATAGTTTGGGGTCATGAGCCTTAAGATCAGGGGACTGTGTAATTACTTGGAGTGGCTTCTGACTGGCAGGACCTGCTGGCGCTGTTGGGGTTTTGGAGTCTTTCTATGCCTTACTCTACTTTGGCGGGGAGGGGAAGGGGGAGGCATTTCTCCATAAATGTGAGAGTGCGGAGGGCGAAACTCAGGCAGGGCTCTGTGGCTGCCTGGGGTCAGCAGCTTCCCTGAGGCCCCGAGCGGAGCAGCCACACCAACACACGGACCACAGTGGGAGAGCCTGTGGCTCCTGCTGGGCGTTGGAGACGTGGATGTCGGGGTGACTTGGATTCTTGTCTTGTCATTAGGAGAATTTCACTGGTTGAGTCTCCGTCCTGCCTAGGTACACGGTGGCTTGGTAGGTAATGACATGGTTAATAGCTTACATGGCCTGCCCTCTAACCTTTAAAATGAATCCCTAGCTGGTCTGGTGCGGTGGCTCAGGCCTGTAATCCCAGCACTTTGGAAGGCCAAGACAGGTGGATCAACTGAGGTCAGGCGTTCAAGACCAGCCTGACCAACCGGGTGAAACCCCATCTCTATTAAAAATGCAAAAATTAGCTGGGTGTGGTGGCACATGCCTTTAATCCCACCTACTCAGGAGACGGCAGCAGGAGAATTGCTTTAAACCCAGGAGGCAGAGGTTGCGGTGAGCCGAAATGTACTTCAGCCTGAGCTGAAGAGCGAGACTCCATCTCAAAAAAAGAAAGTGGTCTTGCCATTTTCCCCAGGCAGTGCACAGAGGCTGCCCTTTGGCTTTCTAGCTGCTAGGAAGACCCAGTGTGCTCACCGCAGCCCCCGCAGGCCCCTGCATAGGGCATGTGGGGCTTCCCAGCTTCGTGCAAATAGTAAAAGGGTATGTGGATTTTTTTTTTTTTTTTGAGACAGAATCACTGTTGCCCAGGCTGGAGTGCGGTGGCACCATCTTGACTTGCTGCAATCTCTGCCTCCTGAGTTCAAGCGATTCCTTCCTCAGGCTCCTGAGTAGCTGGGACTACAGGTGTGCGCCACCACGCCTGGCTAATTTTTGTATTTTTAGTACAGATGGGGTTTCATCATGTTGGCCAGGCTGGTCTCGAACTCCCGACCTCAGGTCGTCTGTCAGGATCGGCTTCCCAAAGTACTAGGATTACAGGCATGAGCCATTTCACCCGGCTGGTTGTGTAGATTCTAGCTTGATAGCTAATATGCCTTCCAAAGAGGCTGTACTAAGTCACACGTTCCTGGATTTATTTTTTATTAATAGGGCTTTAAAAAGTTTTTGTTAATTTATTTTTTATTTTATATTTGAGACCGAGTTTCACTCTTGTTGCCCTGGCTGCAGTACAGTAGCGTGATCTCGGCTCACTACAACCTCCGCTTCCAGGGTTCAAGTGATTCTCCTGCCTCAGCCTCTGGAGTAGCTGGGACTACAGGCACTCACCACCATGCCCAGCTAATTTTTTGTATTTTTAGTAGAGATGGGGTTTTGCCATGTTGGCCAGGCTGGTCTCAAACTCCTGACTCAGGTGATCCGCCCACCTCTGCCTTCCAAAGTGCTGGACTGTAGGCATGAGCCACCATGCCCAGCATAAAAAGTATTTTTTTTTCTTCATAACATTCTTGGAGTACTGAAAAGTATTTTAAATAGCTTTCCAGCAGTCCTTTTGGTTCCAGTGGGTAGGGACGGCCTTGAGGGAGGCTCTGTCCTTGCCAGCCTGCTCTGACCCAGAGGTGAGGGTTTAGTTAATAGGATGCCTTTCAGGGAAAGTCAGGGCCATACTTCTCATGTCCCTAAGCCATTTGTACTTGTTTTTCTCTGACCCACCTGTGTGGTGTGTGTTGCATTTTTTTGGAAAGAGATTTTCAGTAACAGAAAGGGAGGTGCTGTCTGCAAGAGGGAATCTCTTCTTACTCTGTAAGGGAAAAAGGAGTAGCTGTGTTCTCTGAACATGCAGATTGTGCTGGGAAGTGGGTGTGCTTGTCTGAGGCTGGTACAACTCCAAGCCGGTTCTCAGGTCGCTCTGACTTCAGATCATAGGAAGGCAGCGGATGTCCCCGAAAGGGAGACTGCCCTTATAGGGGGGCTTCCGAGAAGTCATACGGCATGTGCATGTGGCAGCATCTCAGGTGGAGGGGGCGTGGCCTGGAGCCCGGGCCAGTGGGCAGGATGGGCACTCCAGGTGTGAAGGAGAGGCCGAGCGTTTGGCTTGTGGACATGGCTCCTGGAGCAGTGAAAAGCCATAGAAAGTGATTTTTTTTTCCCTTAATGGTCACACATAAGGTTGGGTTCCAGAATTTCTCCTTAGGACAGGAAAGGGCACCTTGTACCCCGTTATTTCTTGAGCCTGATCCTACAGAAGGTAGGCTTTCGTGTCTGTATCCTCAGCCCACAGGCCTCTGAGGCTGCCTCGGGAGAGGGCACGGGTTGGAGAACGAGGGTGTCATTGTTGCTGGCTGTCTTTTTAGTCCCCTAGGCACGTCCCGCAGAAAGTTTCTTTTTGTTAAATAATCATGAGATGGTTTGGCCTCACTGCTTAGAACGATCCCACTGGTGGTGAAAGTGGAAAAAGCCCCTTGGTTGTGGAGGTGAGGTCCTTTCGCGCGTGTGTTTGTGTTGGTGCGTTTCTCACTCGTCATAAAGGCGACAGGAGCCAGCTCCTTTTGCTGCTTTCTAGACGGCCATGTGGAACCCGGCATAAGAATAGGGTTGTGTGGGTTATTTACTGCTTAGTGAAGACGTGGTAGCGTGTACTGGAAATTCAGGTGACGTTGGGTTTTTTCAGAAGCACACAGGCTGGAGCTGAGATTCTGGCGGGGCCTGGATTTGGTTGGAGCAGGTTAGCTGACCTCCCCGGGCCACAGCCTGCTCTGCATTGCTAGTAGGATAGCGTGTGCTCAGAGTCCCGGCCCAGGCGAGAGGTTCCGAAGACACTGTTCACCTCGGTGGCCTTCGCCTCCAGGGAAGGCTCTCAGAAGAAGGGCCGATGGACCCACTGGAGTCTCAGTCACTTCCCCAAGTGCATAGGTGTCAGGGAGTGGCCTACAGACAGCCCCTCCATGCCTTGAAAGCAGAAGGAGCCCGTCCTGTTTCTCTGTCCCAGTTGGCGAAGGACAGGAGCCTGCCTGCTGGGACAATCCCAGGCGGCACGTCCATCGGTCTCAAGGGACTCTAGCTGCAAGTGGCTGAGGACCCCTGGCCTCATGGGGGACGGTGCCAAGCTCCCTGAAGTGAGGTGGCTCTCCCCATGGCCGTCACTCCTCAGCAGATCCGTTGTGGGCGGGTGTGCATTTAGGAACCTATGAGCGGAGACATCGTCCGGTTAGCATCGGGCCAGGAGAGCAGCCAAGGCTTTGAGAAATCCCCTGGCTGTGGAGCGGGATTGTCCCAGTGCCATGTGTCTGGGGATCCCAGGCCTCCGCGTGAGAAGGTACCAGTTCCACGGCTGTGACTGTTCCTCCTTGTGCTTGCGTCTCCTGCTCTCTGTGCCCTCTGAGCAGCCCTTAGCTTACTGTCTTCTCCTTCGGCAAAAAGAGGGAAGGAGCACGGGAACAAAGAGGGGGAGGGAAGAAGCAGAGAGAGGAGCCAGGCTTTCCCTTCACCTGGAGCCCTGGGGGTGTCACCCAGAGCCCACCCACCATCCCTCGGCACAGGCTCAGGGTCGGGGCTGTGGATGGAAGTAGGAATCGCCACAACTGTCTCTGAGCCCCTCCCTAAAGGCTGAAAGGGGTAAGGGGTGGGTTTGGGTAGCTCTGGACTTAGCTGTGGTCAGTGGACTCCAAGGCCAGTTGGCCAGTTAGTGACCAGAGAGCAGAGGGGCCTGCAGCCCCGCTTCTCAGTCTAGGCCTGTGTAAAACCCGGCCCAGGTCGGGTTTTGGGATGCCTGCATCCCTCCGCCCCCACCCCCACGGCTGGGACCCTGGTTCAGCTAACGAAGGTCCCGGGTGTGTAAGGAGCTGGGTGGGCCCCAAGCTTAAGCCATGGGCCCGGTGCAGGCGGCAGCAGGTGATTAGCGCTGAAATCCGACTTTCCCA